AAATAGCAATTTTTTTGTATTTTTTTTCCATACGATAATATTATGATACTTAAAGTTAATAAAATAAACAAGATTATACTAAATTAAATAGGCAGTTTAATTAGTATAAGCGAATATACTAAACCGTTAACTCCCTCATGGTATGGCGGAAGTCTTGATGACATTAGGCCAATAACTGTTATATCAACCGGAGGTAATACTTACTATAGGTATGTAGAATATGCAGACAGTGTAAGAAGTTGAAAAGATATTAAAATTGCTGCAAAAGCGGGAGTATTTAGCTTGATTATGTTTAAAATAAGTGGGACTGTCTGGACACAATTTAGACAAAAAGATTAACTTCGGTAGAGCTGTTATTGTGTTGAGATCAAAATGAAGAAAATGTTCTAAACAATCACCAATAAAATTTTATAGCTCAGAAATCATCAAAACACCGAGTACTAAGTACCCACAAATAGGGTCAGTTTTATAAGAGACTGCAGTCCACTCTAGAAAACTTCTTAAGAAAATAGTTGATCATCCTGATAACGGACCTGAAGGTCAAAGTAGAGATGGATAATATTAGATATGAATAAATCTTTGGGTAACATGGACTGAGCAAACTAAAGAAAATGGTAAGAGATTTGCAAACCTATGTGCCTTCGATAAAATGGTTATAGGCGGCTTCATTTTTCCTCACAAATCGCCTGGTCACAGTAAAGAAAACCAAAACGAGCAGATCTGCATCGATAGAAAAATTCATAAGCTCCGTAGATGACATAAAAACAAAGACAGGACCTTGTATCCCTTCAGATTAAGTAAGCAATAGCTTCAAAATGCTAGTAGGGTTTAGCATCAATAAGAAAATAGTATAAAGAATGTATCAATGGATAATATTCAAAAAATTAGCAAGTAGACAGCAGTCGATGACAACCGAACAGATAAACAATCACTGAAGTTCATTAACAGAAGAGCAGGTGGATAAGGCACTCTAAAGGGTTCTAAAATAGATAGGCTACACCGAACTTAGAAGATATTGAGGCACTCTGACAAGGGAGAAACTAGTGTCCTGCTGACGAGGATATTAGGATTTTAGAATAGGACACTATATAGAAACCATAAAGCAGTATCATAAGGCAAGGCCCAGATTTAAATCCTCGGGATAAAAGGGGATGATACAAAACAATGAACGCATGGTGTCAGTAATGGGAGGTAGACATTGAGATCATTAGTAGAATTTGGTAACAAATAAATGAATGAGCAGGTTGAACACCTCTAATGAGCGATATTTACTCCACTAAAGGAAGTTGTAAATGTGAAAACGGAATGTTTAATTCCTAGACCTGTATAAGTGTTGCTGAATATAATTATATGGAAAATGAATAATAAATCTAGCCTTTAAAGTCTCTTACTTATCAACTTAGTTATATCTAATTTAGAGATAACTGGTTGAGGTTACAATTGTATCCAAAAGCACAATTTACATCACAAATTAAAATACCAGTTAAAACCAACTAACTCATCACATATCCTGAAATAAGGTTAATAGCAAAATGTGGAAAATGTGATACTGTGTACCATACAATAAATTATTTATTAAGTTTCGGTAATCTTTCAAAAAATAACTTTTATGATTGTGCGATTTCCACTTACTTTAATTTCACGGAAACGAATAATTAATGATACTCTAAACTCAGTCTATTATAGGCTGGATCAACAATTTATCATGAGTTCAGATAACTTGTATGTATAAATATATTGATTTTATAGCACGTTTCTTTAACAAAACTTAACAGTCGTTTATTCGAACTTCATCCTATTACGTATTGAAAAAAATGAATATAATTGTTGCTTTTTTTCATGTTTACCCTTACAATATCTACCTAGTTTTTCTAATTAAATCTAACTAGAATTACTAATTTCTCTAAGCAAACATTTTAAATGTTAATTAGGTTTATCATTACGTACAATTGTAAATAAAAAATGGTCATGGTAGATATTTCTTGTTACATCGAATGTGTATTTCATTTATATCTTAATTTCTGTGCAATCCCTGTAAATAAATTCTAAAATAGTAAATGTGACAGAATAAGTTTTAAATCTTTCCTTTTGAACTTAATAAAAAATAAAGATCTCAAATATTTTTCTTTATCTCGAAAAAATTATATGTGTTTATTGAGTCATATCGAAGAAGTAAATGACCAATATGAGGAGATATACAATTACCTTGTCCAATGTATTAGAACTATGAATTATACTTTGATATTTAAAATTTGTATTTTTTTGTATAAATATATTTATACAGCTAAATTGTAGTGTTTGTATGAACTAACGATTTCTTTGTACTTGTTGAATGTTTGATCTCGAATTCCAAATACAGTACTGTCGTTCGTGCTTATCTAGTACTTCTTGATCCAATTATGTTATTTCTGGAATTCCGAGTTTGTACTATAATTCAAATACTTCTAATTATCATATAAATGTAGTTTTCATTACAGAGTAATGTCGATATATAATGTATCAATTAATTTAAATTTATTAGGAATAGATCAAATTAAGCTTATTTTAAAAAGAACTTATCATGAGATTGTAGCTAGTTGAAAAAATATATATCATGTAGTTAAGGTTTTAAGTAGTATGAAATTTTGACCTCAATAATGAAGAATAAAAATATGATCGTAGAAATAAAAGTATTGGTTGTTTACTAAATTATTTGAAAAAGACTAATTAACTGACAGGAGCTCAGATAAGCAGTAAAAATATGAAAATAAAAACAATTTCATAATAAGAGGAGTGGAAGAAAATGGTGTTATCTAATCCGTTCTTAAAACTATTCTACCTTAAACGAAATAATCCTAAAAAAATGTTTATTTAGATGCATAAACTTGGTTGAATTCTTTTTTAACATCAGTATCTTCACTGAAGCATAATATATTCGAAGTTACACGGTTAATGAATATTTTGAAAGATTTTTATGCATCAAAGTTGATTACACCGTCAAGCAAATGACCTATGAATATGTTGCTCAATGACAATATACACAGTTTGTTTGTACAAATAGTATCTAGATTGCCCAGTTAGTTTAACAATACATATAACAAGTCAAGGAACCCAGTATCAACATATGTAGAAAGAACTGGACAACCATATGATCAAAGAGTCCCCATATTAAATCAATCAGTGAACATTATTTTTCTATGTTGTTATTCTTGTAATGAGTGCGCTCCATTTATAGCATATGGAAATCTATATTTAAATCTGACTCGTTTTTCTGAAAAAAATATGTCCATTAGACTTGGAATTTATACAAATAAACATTAATAAATGGTGGTTCACTTTGCATAAAGACTTAATTTTTAGAGTATATACATACTTCTCTTAAAATCATGATTGAGTTTCATATTTCTGATGTATTTTTTATTTAAACTGATGTTCCTAAATTCCACATATGTGACATCCTAGAAAGCTTTCAAATAAAATTACAAGCTCCTGGAGACTATGTATAACGATTTAGATTGTCTGTAATATTTTTCTGAAACCTTAAATTATAATAATAATACATCAAAAAGCAACATCATCGTCTTGGCTGTTTTAATTTTCATTTCTCAATGCTTTTTGAATTATGTCGATCAGTGTTTTCCATTCATTTTGTAAGCTAACAAATCTAAAATAAATCTGAATTTTAATTAACTTGATGGAGTTCCTAAAGAATGATTGCAACCACAAAATATATCATGAAAGCGTGTTGTGAGTTTATAGTTCTGTAATTTGATTTGAATCTAGTAGGCTTATTATGGTTGATTTACAGAAGTTTGGACCTTTTGAACTATGTTTATAGTTTACTTCATTTTATGACTTCAAAATGTGCAGCATACTAATGTTCGGTTTATGTAACACAAATCACGATTATAATTATTCATTAGAATTTCTTGTATTCGATATTTACAAAATAGTTTTCGGAACGCACAAACGAATATATCTCAGAGTTCCAAATTCTTACAACTAAAACATAAATGACTTTAATCAATCAGACGAAATACATGGTGATAACATATTTAAGTCAATCAATCAACTAAGGACGCTGAAAAATGGTTAAACCGTTATATATAGTATTTGGTATAACCTGTAACACTAAAATATCCTAAACATGCTATTTAAAATCCTAGAATATTAAACGTCATTTAGTTTTAAGGTTCATTTTAGTCATATTTGCAATGTTGCTCATAATAAAGGCATCAGATAATCAATAACCCGTTGAAATATCTAGTCCCCTATTCCTATACAAATGAGGAAAGTGAATGATAAATAAACATAAATGTGTAAACAACCTCGCGGTATTTAGTTGTATTCCATGGTAAACAATTTATCAACGTTCATTCACTAGTTTCTGTGTCTAAAATATATCGAAGTAAAATAATCCAGGTCCTTCATTATTAATCATAATTCGTTTATTATATAAATCTAGCCTTAGTTATAACTACTAAATAAAACAACTATAGCAACTATCCATCAACCGATTTCGATTATGGTTAATTTTTGCTAAGCCTTTTTATTAACCTACTTAACAGACAATGTTATTTGAATAGTAACAATTCGCATATTTCTTTTTATTGTTATAATCGCTAGAGCACATGAAAGACTAGCTAAAATGTTGATTGTTTAAATATCATTCGATGATTCATCCTCCTCCCCATGTATGTATGTACTCGAATTCTATTATTAGTCCTTGCTTTGCCTTGCTGCTCCCTTATGCAATTTGACTATAAATTTGCCTATGTAATTGCTTATATGTACTTATTCGCCTCTTCGCTTCAAGTACGCTCGATTTGCTTATAACTTTGCAATCATCGCTATCGGCTAGTAAACTGTAACTGCGGCTTCTCATTGCCTTTTGATTTTAAGCACCGTTGAGATTTATTTTATAACGATTATCGAGGTGATTGATTGACAAATCAATGTCATCATTCATGAGGTCAAATTCAAAACTGACAATATTATATTATCATACACAATAGAAAGTATGCCATTGTATTCTCTTGATATTTAATTAATAAACAAAACAATCAATATCAATTACATATAAGATCTTATATTTATTTACAAATTTAATAGTGAATAAATCATCACAAACACAGTTATACAATGATTTCATAATTCTTAATTGACACGAAGACAATAAAGGGTTGAAAATAAAATCTGAAATAATAAAGATCTTTATAAATTTGTCTGTAAAACATGACGTATAGTAGAAAAAAGGATTCTTATATTATTGAATGTATATTATTTAAATAAAGAACAATTGAACAATCAATAATCTACAACATTTTGTTCTCCATCTTATATATATATGAAATAACTAAGAATTAACAATCAAATAGTCATTTATAAAAGGCATAAACCCAAAAATCCTATGGAAGAATAAATGGTAGAATGATATTTCTATTGTTTAGTTTCTTTTATATTTATCTACAAGAAAAGAAAGTAAATTTTATAATTCACAACAATACAGAAAAGCTGTAGCAATCACACATTCGCCTTTTGCCTGTACATTTAGATATATAAAAAAACAAACTTAAAGTCATATTGAAATGTTGGAAAACAGTAGTGAAAAATAATGTTTCTTTTATACTCAAGTCATGAAATATGTTTTATCTAACTAAATATTGATTTACATAACTATCTACACTAATAGTAATACCCTAACAATAGTAACAGTTAGAATGTAGGACTTTTGTTTTAACAAAAAAATATACATAGCAGACAATAGTAGAGATGATGATACATTATTAATTCTGCTTGAAAGAAGTTAATTGATTGAAGTGGTTAGCTAGAATCGGTAAACAGGACACATCGGATAAAAATAACAGCCCAATTACAGTTAAAGTTTTAAAAAAATCACAGTTTCAAACGTACCATTCTTTAGGATTTATTGTCGACTTTTTTTTCTCCACTTTAAAATAAGTTTTTCTAACCTGTTTATTGTTATTATCTTCGATAAAATAGGTGTTTTGAATATTGTTGCAGTCATCATTGTTAATAATGGGGTTAATGTTACTGATAGTTTTATCAATAACAATGACATCTGGATTATTTTCAGAGACTTTATCATTTGTTAAACTAGATTCGTTTATAATATTATCCAAATTGAGTTTGATTAGAGATCTGTCGTCTACATCAGTAGTTTCAGAATTAGTTTTAAACAATGTAATAGATTTGATTAATTCCGGTTGTAAACTTATCAGTGGAATGGATGAATCACTTATAATATGTTTTCTACCACCAATGATACTGTTAGTTTGTACTGTTTCACCAGTATATGCTGTACTCTCTTCAACATTGTATGTGCCTTCATCACGTCGCATACATCGATATATAACACATGTTAAAATAATTAATACACATATACCACTGACAGAAACAGCAATGATCAGTACAATATTAAATGGGAATTTTTTGTTTCGTTCAACAAATGAACCGAAAAGATTTTTTGATTTTTTATACAAACTGTTATCAAATGTAGGATTATTTTTCCCATATGATATTTTATCTAATGCTGGTGTTAATTCTTTATGTTTTTGTGATATTTTGTTACTGAAATTATACCAATTGGTTATAAGTGGTTCCATTTCATTTAGATGTACAGTTGATTGATCTAGTTTGGAATAACCTTGAAGAAAATGGCTATCACTTGTAGAGGACTGCCTATTATTATTATTATTACTTTGATCAGCATTCCAGCCTTGTTGAAGTTCATTTTTATCGCTAAAATGTTTATATTAAAAATAAGTCAAAACATTACTTTCCTTGAACAAGTAAAAAAACAATAATAAATGAAAAAATTTACTTTATAAGTTAAAAATAGATTATCCTCTTCATTAGTACTTACAGTACTCACTTCGTTCACCGGATATTTTTCGTATTCTCATCTTCAAAAGAATGTAAGTATTATTGTGCACGAAATTCGTTCACTGAGAAATACCCCCAATATTTATTTTTTAAATTTGTTCACAAAAATACCATATAGAAGTTGTGCTTAAGTTTTGTTGTATTGTATTATAGAAATTGTGAGGACGATCCACAGGTGAACTCGAGGAAGTTGTAAAAAGCTCAGAAAAAGACGAAGATGTTCTATTCAATCATCTTATGGAAGAATATTCCAGAATTCCTACGTGTAGCTTCCCTATTGGACAAAAGCTAATAATCTTTTGTATACGGATTGGAGGACTATAACAATGATTTCGTTTTTACTAAAAACTATAAATACCTGTCAGCTCTGTACCGTAAATGACTCTATTTAAAATAGTATTCCTTTCACTTGTCTTCTGTCTTCTCATTTGCGACTTGGTGGGTTCTAGCGCTCGAGTGCTCTAGTTGTACGTGGTATAATAAAAAACTATAGATATAACACGAATTATTAACTGGCTGAATAACTCTAAATATCGTTCTATTTGTTATATCTATTAAGTAACTAGACCATTACAATTCTTACCCCGTTTTAAATATTTATAGGACTTCTATCATGATTTCTCTTTCTTATAAACAATTTATATTTGCATTAAAATAGTGATTTATTGAAAAGAACGAATTAGACATTAACGGCTTGAATTATCATGCAAATATCATCAATAAGATAAGATGATGGCTGACTACCTCCAATCACCATCTTATCTCAACGTAGTGCATGCAATATCGAGTTATCTAGACTGGTGGCCACATTGCAACTTGGTCTATAAGATTAAATCTCCACTAAGAAGGACCTGACACACATGACATTGATCACCAAACAGTGATCAATCAATTGTAAACAACACGTTTTATTGAGTACCTAGTTTTAAAAGAATTACCATTTTTTAAGAAAATAAATGAAATGTTTAGGTAATCATCGATAGTATTATTTAAATAAACTCCTACAATAATGTAATTTTGTTAGGTCATATAAATTTAACAGAATATATATATTTTTTAAATTTACAATTCAAATGTTCGTCTATATAGTATTTCACATTAAAGAGCTTGATCTCCTTCAACCAAATCAAATTAATTTATGATACACTTTTATGTTCAGACACTTAAAATTGTAACCAGATCACAATGTAGATCAATATAGTTCTAACTGAACTATAATTTATATAACATAACATTGATCAATGACTATTGGTTGATAAATATAATATTGTCATAGGATTCAAGTACAAATTTTTCAAAGATCAACTTCATTTAATTGAATTATGTCAATTTCCCAATAAGTCAAAAAAATTTTTTGAACTAACATTTTACATAGATATAGATATATAAATTTCAATCTCGCTCTCATTTAACTTTAAAAGTTAAAAATCAAGGAGACATACATAAACGAAACCAAGCTGAGAGGTAAATGTCACGAATTTTTTCATGTGATTTAGTCGAATATATATATATATATATATATATATATATATATATATAATTATTAAGTATCATACATATGATTCCTGGAAAATAGTGATGTAGAATACTCTCAACAAAATTTAAAAGAACCAAAATAAGTGAATATTTCCCATCTGCCAAAGTTAGTTACAGTTTTACTAAATTCCTAATAATTGATAAATGCGTATATAAATTATTAACCGAATGATTGCCTGTTTATCACGAATAAACAAAATGGCTAAACCTTTTTTTTTTCAATATACTACGCATATACATGTTGTATATACCTTTATTTACTGGTATAATAAACCTAAAGAAAAGTAATCAAAAATTGTGAAAAGTTATGTTTCACCGTAGTATATATATTTTTTTCTATAAAATGTGAAGAATTTTCACTTTCTATGACATTGTCATTGATATACGCAAATTCCAGCTAAGTGTTTGCACGTAACCTTCAAAACCCTAATCAAGTCCATTTTAAAGAGATTTCATTCTCAATCCTGAGATGCTTTTATACTGCTTCAAGTTCATAGTTTCTATCAGAGAGTTTCTAAAAACTATAATGGTGGTTGAAGGTAGTCAACAGAAGACCCGGACTGTGGTTTTGTGCCACTTGGCACTCGTCAGCAAGTTGTACCTGTAATCTTGAGGGAACTGGTGCTCCCTGACGCATTCGATCTCCTGTCACACAGCTTCACAGTCAGAGACGTTACCATTAGGCTATCCGGGCCGCGACCGATCTCAGTAAAACTGAGATGTAATCACAACTGATTGATCACTGGATGGTGACCAATGTCATATTTGTCAAGTCCTTCTCCTTGACTACCTCCAACCATCATCTTATCTCATCATAGTACACGCAGTGTCGAGCCACCTAGACTAATGGCCACATTACAATTCGTTCAAAAGCATTCGGTCTGCACTAAGAAGGAATTGACACACATGACATTGATCACCATCCAGTGATCAATCAATTGTAAGGTTCTAAAAACTTTTCCAACACATATTCCACTGTTTCATAGATCGGACTTTGATGCAAAAGGCTTAGAAGCTATCCGATGGTAAAATTGCTTGCATCAAACTGGATGCCTTATGATTATCACAGACCTTATACTACCAACAAAAACGTGATTAAAAGATTGTTTTCTATTTTTATGGCTTTTATTTTTGAACGTAATCAACAAAAACTTGGGATTTTTCACGGAACACGGTGAACTAAGAAATACCATTTGTAGTCTATTTTCTATCAAATTTAAATTTTTTTAGTCCGACATAGATAAAAAAAATTGTGCTTTTCACTAACGCAGTATTTTGGCACTTGAAAAATTTAATTTTTGCATTTGAATTTTATTCTATCTGCTTTGATTTCGTTAACCACGCTATTCTGCTAACCTTACTGATGATCGACTCAACCTGAAAGTTTTATATACATCGATTTATTAATATCGCTGATGAAACATACAAGTCCAACAGAGATGATCAGTATTTGATCTCTTAGGTGTACTCTGATCATTATTACACAAGTAATTTGAAATTTATAAGGTATCTGGCAGTTCCATGTATTTTATTTTTCTTTTCCAATAAATTTGCATTAAGACCTACTAGTACTGTTTTAGAAAATAAGTTTATATTTTTTTGTAATTCATATTTACGAAAATCAAAATTCAACTTTGATTAAATGACTTACACAGCTCGCATATTTAGAGGATTATCACTGAATGTAATTAATGGTTGGATGATACCATCTAAATCAGCTGGTTGACATTCTTTATAGTTATAGCTACTGTCATATTTTAAGCATTCTGTTTTCGGCACAACAATCGGTTGCGTTTTGTAGTCGTGAATTCTGTCATGAAAATCCGTCTGAAATGTTAAATAAGCGAAAACACAGATAAAGTATACAAACCAAAAGTTTAATATTAGTATCAATATATCTAGTTCAATAAATACAAATTGCATTGGCCTGATTAGACTAGTAACTGAAACCTTGCAAATGTAGACAAACGCTTTTATTATATTATATATACCATACTATCTTACCAGTTGATGATGACGATATTTATGAGACATTGTCAACGTACTCATACAGCAAATAAACGAAATAAATTTTAAAAATGCTAGATAAATTGGTATTTGTAGTTCCTGTCTTACTATATAGAACAATTTATTAAAATTATGGGTGATTGCAGCTGTACATGGACATTAGTCGCAGTATCACAAAAATCAGATATAAATGAATCCATCAATTGAATCCATCTACGGCTGTGGCAAGAACTAGACTAATAACTTCATAACATGAGCATTTATTTCTCACCATGGATTTCAAATTCTCTATCTCAATAGTACAAATTCACACCCTGAACATTGACATTTCTAAGACAAATATCACTTCGAATTTAAACTAATTCATTAGGTCTATCGAGTTATCATTAGTTAAAGGAAATCAAAAATGACAAATGGATGTATAGTCATTATAATCCTTGAGGCTGTATCAGTGAAATGTCGTCGAACAAACAACTAGTGTTTTTTGACTATGATTATAAAACCAGTCTGATAGATATTACCTAAAATACTTCATTCGTACATATGCTGGATACCAATAAATTATCTCTGAGAAAAATTTGGCCAAACATCTAAATTAAATTCTTAGTGGAGATAGATGGTAGCTAGCAGTGAAATTCAAGACGCGTGTTTTGTACTGTTTTGGATGGGTGTATCTGGATCTCACAGTTTCTGTTCACTCCAGGACTCCAAAACTCCAAAACTGATCAGTTGCAGTTTTAAACGTCAGTGGGAAGATAAAAACTACTAATAAAAAAATTAATTAAATTTAACTTGTTTGAATTGTCCAGTTATTGATATTTTGACTGTCTTTTTGAAGTAAATAACTAGGTAGATAACATGATAGCACATAAAGCAAACAATTATAGGTTTGATTTCAAAAGTGAACATCAACTCTGTAATGGAAGTATATCCAGCTGAAAATTTTCGAATAGGACAAAATGTACGTTTTAGATTTCACTCATAAGCTCATTGTACTTGTTCTTTGTTAAATATCTAAATTTCTATTGTCTTCATTAATTCAGCTATGCTCACTTCAATCAATAACATATATGTATTATTATTTTTGCTAATGATATCTTATTGATTAACTTGAAACAAATCAGAAAACTCATGAACAGTTTTTTCATCTTTCACAAAAAAAGTTTTCTTTTATCAGGGGTAATTTTTTAAATTATATCAGTAAATCATATTCAATGTATTGTGGAAATGAAAAGATGAACTCATTTTCTTTGATGAAACAAGCAACTGCCACTTTCTTTTACTTATTTAACCCCTGAGGACTTAGCAAATAGAATAACTAGTTTAGTTATTTTTTTAAAAAAAAAACAACTTAGATATCTTTTCGAACAAACAGCGGTGAAATTGATATATAATAGAAATTTTAATATATTTTTTTCATCACTATTAGTAATTTGTAACTCTGTTTTTCAAAACAAGTATTAAAAAAAGGTAATTAACATAGATTATAAGAATTATTCTTATCAACATACCGCTGTAAGTTGCATATCATTTGCTTCATTTTGATTTCTAGTTTCTGGTTCAGTTCTGCTCGGGGAATTCAAATCAATGATTAAAAGTTATGACATGTATTATTAGACAATAAATCATAATTTTATGAATAATAAATGAATATGAATATAGTGATATTCAAGTTATTCCTAATAGCTTTAAATCAGTCAGTTTTTAATAAAAGTCCATGGATGTTCTGTTTAAAGATTTCAATGGATACTAGCATTTGTCTTCAATAACTTAAATGCAATGAATAGGAAATATAATAATTTAATAAGTACTATACAATAAGCAAAACTATGGTATGCTTGATGTCATTTAGCTGGTCAAAAACGTTCGTTTAGTATATGCTGTCAACCCCATGTATCAATCAGAAATTATCCTTCAACCAAAGTTGTTTCACCTTTAATTTAATTTGTAAGCAGTATTTTGTAAATGCAAGAACAAGATCTTGATTATCTTTTTGTAGTTCAAAAGAAACAAAAATGTTTTGGTTTGAACCTTAGGTGAATTAATTAAACACTATAAAGTAATTATTAATTTACATATAACCACGATAGTGGTGTGGCCAAGGGATCAGTAAAATGCTTATATCCACAAAAGTCACTTTTATTCAATAATTTCGTTTAACATTATAGGATTGTGGAGATTATTAGGTTTTTGATTGAGATCATGAACTGATCGATGTTAGACCAGCATTGAAAACCTGGAAGTACTGGACGGCCGTCTTGCCCTTTTGCTGGAATATTCATCTGTACGCACCCACGATCCCGCTCGTGGGATTCGAATCCAAGACCTTCAGTCTCGCGTGCGAGCGCTTAACCTCTAGACCAGTGAGTTGGCATACAATGGTAATAATGTCTAACCTCAACCAATCCACGAAATTGCGTACTTTCAGGTTTTCATTGCTGGTTTAACATATAGCAACTCACGTTCAGTTGAGTTTGCCCTCATCTAATTCGTTTAAGCTCTTTGGTTAACCTAGTAAACGGACAAGGTTATCTGTACTTTAACAACTTATTCTATCTTTATATTTGTTATGCTTGTATGAATAAGCATGCTTGAACACTGTTGACTGCCCACGCATATATTCATCCCACTAACCTTATTATTATTCGCTTAATCGATTCGATAGTCCATTCACTTTTCTATATATATACATGTATATTTAACACTCTACACAATTTCCACACATTCTCACACAATCACGGTTTGCTGACTCATTCGCCTCTCTGCTCTGTAGTTTGAGTTGCCTGCTAATAAAACTGTAGTAGCTGCTTCTCTTTGCCTTCTGATTTCAACTACCGTTGGGGTTTATACGATAACGGTTACGAGGGTGATTGGTCAACGAAGCACAGCCACTACAAACATCAATCAGTACATGATCTCAATCAAAAATTTCTGTCAATTTAACGGAAGCTCAATTGACGTTCATTTGCTTTTTATGTTTTAAATTCTCACCAACTAATTAGAAACAAACTGAACATCATGAAAATGTTTTAAAAATGCCCTTATTCTAGCATGCAGAAAATAAGTTGACAAAACTTTTTATTAATTTTTTGAAGGTAATATTTGGTTTAATGGGAACATTATGGACATTTGCATATTTAGTAATGAAATGACAACTAATAATACATCTAGATTACTAGATTTAAAAATACGTGACTTTTTATTGAATAAAGTAATAATAAAAATAGTCCAAGAGAATTTACTCAGATTCAGCACTAGACACAACTTCATAACGTGTCTTATCTCTGTTCGACTTTGAGATTATTTCAGTTAACATTCTGTACCTCGAATTTTCGGAGCGATATTTGAAATATATCCAAAAACAGATACACTACTTTAGTCATACCTTACGTTCCATAATGTAGAAAAAATCTACTTACGCCACTGTTTTATATTCAACCAGAAACTAAGTTGGCGTGTAAAGTGCAGCTTATATTTCATCAACTTAAAATGAGTAAGAATAGCTTTATCAAATTGTGTTTGTATTTAGATCCAATCAAATATAATTTGCCATAAATGAATGATCAATTAGTTTTCGAATAAAGATATTTGCTTTTTTTCATTTGCTTGACAACTAATAGTCAATAGACGTTAGTTGATAATAATTTAAATTACGAGTTTAAATTATTTTAATTAATGTTAGCATCAATTTGATAAACAATTCTAAATATACAGTTTTGTAATTATTAATGAACTAATAAAAAGAAGATTTATTTCGGATGATTAAGTCTTAAGTTCTTTTGCACTCATTATTTCAGTTTTACAAATAAAACTTCAAGTTTAATTTATTTAATAGTTGAAATCATAGGTCAATTGAAGCTAGACCACCATGGAAAACCTGGAGGCACTAGACGACCGTTTCATCCTAGTATGGGACATCTCAGCAGTGCACATCCACGATCCCGCCTCCTACGATTTCAACCATTAAAATTACTGAAATCTCCACAAAACCCCTTCTGATATTGATTTATTTAGTTGATAACTGCCTAAAACATAAGATGTCATGATATTTTAAAAACTCGATCATTCTAATGGTGTCCGGATCTATACAAAATAAACTAGAAATCAATTCGAACCAAATCTTAGCGTTGCTTAAAGCAAGTAACAGTTACTATATATACATATATTTAGAGGAGAATTAGATTACTTTTCTCGATTTACTAAATGACCAAGAAATTCAAGGGAACTTACCTTTTACTATGAGCATGTAATTTCTTCATATTTGGTTTAAAATTTGGATCAAGTTCAATATTCTCTCGAGTTTTTAAATATATTCCAGGAACCATATTTCCATATAAGAGATCTATCAAGTTGATATTGTTTAAATTCAAACCTGACATTTTCAAAAAACGCAGAAAAAAAATTTTCTTCTCTCTTGTTACAATATTTTTATTATTTAAAGGTACCAGAAAATTTACTTGAAATAATATTTTCAATATTCTTGAATTATTTTCGGCCCAGTTTTATCAAAATAATGATATAGTAAGACAAACTTTATATATAGGACGTTCACATGCAAACGATAAAATTACAATTAGTGGTTTTGTAAGGAATACACATGCCTATGGCATATTCTTCAGTTGAAATGTCCAGGTAGAACTCTTTTGTTATTATAAGTTAACATTTTTTTCAGAATAAGATTCCGTGGAAATTATAGAATATACATAGGTTTTATATCAAGAAGTGAACTTATTTATGTTATATCTGGTTTCATACTAGTATATCACTTCTCAGTTGTGCATATTGACTAATTAGAACTTAAAAATCGAACCTAAAACAAGGAGCGAACACTTAGCCTCTGTAACGCTAAGACGAAATTGAATGGCATTAATGTCTCGTGTATTTCTGATGTGCATAAAAAAGTTACAGATTCAAATGGATAAGCATGGAAAACTACCTTAAGTTCAGAAAGCTTTGAAAAAATCAAAGGATTCACTAGCAACATATTAAAATCCATGTTCATTTGACTAGAACATCTGAAAGTCATAAACATGACACTTCGCTATTGCTCGACACTCTGTTTTGGGATTGTTAAATTAACCAACCATCATTTGTCCCAATTGTAAAACCTATATATTAATGTAAAATCTTTGACGAAAAATTAACTTTAAAAAATGTATTTCTTCCTTCAATTTGCATTTTAGTTCATTGAAGAGAATATTTAATATAATGAAATATCATAATGATTATTGTGTGACAGTAAAATATTATTGTTGCACACTTACATAACTTATATTTGTATATTGATATAACACTAATTCAACTTGGATTTGTTTAAACATGGATTTCATACTTACACATTACGTAATATTGATGAAAACTGTTTTATAGTAGATAGAAAATATGAAGATAAATAAACATACTTGCAGTTAGTTATATATAACATTAATGGTTAATTAAAGTAATTAATGAAGTGTTTAGACAGAAACATAATCATGTCAAGAATTGTAAATTTTTGTGTGAATTCATCAAGTCAAATTAATCTAAAGAAACACTTTGGAATTTTGTTTAACTTATTTAACATGTTTGTATGATATCGATGAATAAATGAAAGTTAATATAGTGCGAACACAGTTTATAGATATTTTAAATGATGAGAAATATTTGTGTCATGTCAAAAATTGATTGTGATATGAAATTGGGTTCCCTGGTTAATGAAGTACATATTTGTACTAAGCAATAAGATAAAATATAGTTAAGTAGTCGGAAAACATTTTTCATTACTAAGTCAAGAATATTAGAAACTAGGGGGAAGTAGTTAATAACTCACCAATCATGTGTGTATATGATTGTATACAGTTTTGGATCTAAGATATTCAGTTGATGCTAGTTTTGAATTAAATGCACTAATAAGTCGAAAGAAATATTTACAAAAAATTAGGGAATTTTTCAGAGACTAAAATTCGGATTACATGTTTATAATGTACTTGATCTGAAACATGTTTCGCATATTCAAGCTGGTACATGTAACGTTTGGAGTAACATATATCGCGCTGAAGATATCAGATGAAGATCATATTATATTATTATATGATGGAAGAAAAAAATATGAACTATCAAACTATGAGTTGTGTTTACACTGAAACACTATGTCGCTGTGATCTTACTTAGATATAGATTTATCGACTTAGATATATATCTGCAGTTTCACCTCTGTGAACGAATTTCTACGTACATGCCATTAACCAAATACTAACGGCTAATAGATAGTACTGTCTCAATAAATTTATTCATCCTAACGTGTTTATAATACTGGTTTGTGATTTCACAATAGGTTAATTTATCAAAAAGTACTATAAATTTTCATGCATTCTTTCGTCCAAACTAACCGGTAATAAATCCTTCAAATCCTTTTCCCGATGTCAATTCACTATTGTTATTTACTGACATTTTTTCTTTCAGTTTTGGTGCTTCACCAAAGTATATTCGTTTTAACAAGTTAAAATGTTTGTTGTTTTGATCTAAAAAAAGAGATACACATACGTTTATTAAAATTCAGTAAACTATCTTCCAAAGACACCCGTCCGTATAGACATAAGTTGAAACATAAACTTAATATTATAAAATATGTTGCCAATAAAGAGTGAATTAGACATCCAAATATACATCGGTGTGTGAAGACACCTAGATTAAAAATCTTATAAGAATATAGGAGTTGTATATTGTGTTTCTCATGTATTTATTATTATAGTGATACTGTGGTGTGTGCTAATATAGTGTTATTCATATTACATTTCAATTTGATATACTTATAAAGGTATTGGAGTTTCATTTTTATGGCTTATATAATCTATATTTAGCACACATTAAATACAATCCAAACACTTGTTTAATATGAACATGAATTACATAAACAGTAGTTAGTTGGTACTTTGCCAGAAATTTATAATCTTTATACAAATCATTTCGTAAGTTTCCACATTAGCTGTTACATACATGACCGTCATGATTACTACAGAAAAACAACGCTAAGAATAGATGTGACCTAGACGATCATTTTATTCATTAGGTCTTAAGTGTCATGTAATAAAAAAACATTTCAACATCCGAATAATATTTACAAGTATAGATCAATTTACTTCCTGCTATATCATTTTTCTAAATAGATCCATTAGAAAATCACAAGTCTTATCTCTGTTGATGTGTATAAAGAATAAAATTGAAGAATACAAGGTTGAATTAAACCCATACGTTCTTAGTTATTGTTAATTATAAATTTTATTACGAAGTACTAAATATTTAATTTTCAGACTACAGAACATAATAAGTAAAAACATCTTCACTATCTGTTCCTGCCATTTAGATATTTTAACAAATTGTCTAATTTTTTTTTGTTTTAATACATCATTATGGCTATTAATAGTACAACCTATTCAAGTACGTTTGTGAAAAGTGTACAAACTTTCGTTGTACAGGTTACAAAAGGCACAATCAGAGATATTGTAGTTGTTGGCAATATACATCGAAAAGAATGTATATCATTTAGACGTCAATTGCTAACTTCTAACTGATGATCACTCAATATTTATCGTCAAGATCAATCAAGAAATAACAAAACGAAAACGTTTTGAAATACTTTGCACTGAAAATTCTATATTGTACTAGAAATATAGTATTGAATATGCCTAATAATAATAATGTCTTTTAGTTGAATTACATTATTAAATAAATTGCACATATATGTTAGAATATTACCTTCTGTTGGTTTTGTGATTTCATGTTGAAAATCAATTAACAATATACTTTTGGCTTCTTGTCGTATAAATTGAACTATATGAAAATGTCCATCATCAAAATTTACATTCGGTTGAAATAATGTTTGAGTTCCTCCACCCATATTAAATCGTACATGAAGATTAAGTTGATCCTTAGACAATGAAAAAAAGTATTTATAAAATAAAATTAAGTAATTAAGTAAACATATTTGATAGACATATAGTGATATAGAAAATGTTGTAAAAAAGAAAAAAAAATTTAATTACGATTAAATAATTACTGAAATTAACTATAAGCTTAATATAATAGAATAATTACATAACTATATACTTCCGTATATTTAGACATATTTCTAGTGTAGAAAATCATTTGTTATTGTCATATTCATTCATTCATTATGCCTGAAAATTATCTAATTTCTTCCTTCTTTCTTTACAAAATAATATTACACAGAATAAACACAATACTATTAATGTTAATATTCAAAGAGGATGGCATTAAGATGTTTCATTCAAGTTACATCCAACTGTGTTCAATTACACCTCTTATTATTAATTTTCTTCTTTTCGATCTCTTTGTAAAAATAATGTCGTAATAAATATTGATATAAAGGAAAGTTTCTCATTTATATTGTTTTTTCATATTTGAAATAAGATGGAATAGAATAATGAATTATGTACAGAAATACAACGATACAATGAAAATTATTCATTCATAGATAGTTAAGTATTTGTATTGTAGTTGTGTGTTGTATTTTTTTTGTTATTATATGCACAAACTCATTATGATTGAAGTTTGAAATGAAATTTATTGTCTATCAAAAAAAGGTACTAGATTATAGACATTTATTTTCTTTTATATTTCAATCAAAACAATTGTTTTATTTAATATTTCAATTTAAGAATGTAAGTCATCAGAAATGATTCGACAAAAATATGTTTAGAAGATATCACTGTAACAGTAATAACTGATCTCTTATCACCTGGTGATAAAGCTATGGGTCAGTTTTATCTTTGTAATCTTGTAATAATAAACATGCTAGATAAAGTATTTAGAGTTTTAGATATTTCATCGCATGTACTCTAATATTAATATACGTGGATATTGCTTTGTCAAAGTATGGAGAATATCGGGTTTATTGGCTATTAATCTTTCTCCTTAACCCGTATGGTTATTAATCACTACTAGTTATTTAATGAAAATCAAATATACGAAAATGTGTAATATTATCTAATGGGTTGAAAGAGAAGTAGTTTACGTTGCAGATTATTTTCCTCTATGGAAATATGTTTTCCAGTTACGGATTAACAAATACTTATAGATTTACTTTGTACTAAAAAACATAATGAGACGTTTTTGTAAGAAATTATTCATTGATACATTAATCATCCTTGATCAATACAGGGTTCCATGTTATTATTCTCTAATATCATATACAAAAACTTATTTTCTTCTTATTACATTGTAGAAAACATCCTAACTCATCATTGGTTGATTATTTTATAGAAATTCAGAAATCACATTACAATGTAATCTGACAATTTAATGTCTACCAACTAGAAGAAATTGAGTCAAGAAAAGAGTCAGTCAGTCAGTCAGTAACAACATAGAACTTTGTACGTACGTATAACAGTTCCAGTTGCCATACAACATTAGCACAGAGATGCAGTTGTCGATTCAAATCCCGTAGTGGTAGAGGTAGTAAGAGTATAAGCAGTAATTGGAATGATTAGGGTTTGAAGATGTTATTTGAGGAGTATAATACAGTGAAATAAATTTAGAAAGAGGAGAAAAGCGACATGGCGAATTCAGAAGATTAGAATTTGCTAGAACGCAAAGAGTGGATGCACCTGCGCCATTGCAAACGATTTTGAGTCATGTCATTTAGAGAAGAAAGAAAAGAGTACGTTTACTATATTATAGCTAAATGGTTATTAAAAATATTAGAAATACATATCGAATTTCTTTTAAATGGATGTTCCTAACATTTTTCGGTTGAGATACGTTTTCTACTATCATCAAGATGTATATCATTATCATTTGGCTAAATTCGTCTCCTTAAACAAAATACTTGTTATTATATTGTTTCCTACAATGAACTGATGTTGTACATCTAATATATTAGAGAGAAGGAGTACTTTAAGTCGATTTAACCGGATATATTTATTTTTACAAGGAACATTAATATTCATCTTACCTTATTGTGTAATACAGATAACTGTATGAAGTCTGGGGATTGACCTTGACCTTGGATGTGTATTAAAGACATTGTACCAGGATTAATTACTTGTATTCCGAACGCCAGTTTATCTAATGTAGTATTCTGAGGTGAATTCAGTTCAAAAACAGCATATCTTCTAGGGAATTCTGATAGGCGAACTGATGTTCCGGCTGTTAAAGAAAACAATAAATACAAAAGAATTGAAGTAAACAATCATAATTCAATCTCCAGAAAACTCTAAATCATGTTAGATACTAGTTAATTCTTAAAAACAAATTTTGAAATTACTCTCTCATGCGGGATTGGATAGTTACTGTCCAAATGTAAATATCAGACAGTAGATGGAAAGCGAAACCGAAGCTTCGCACTTTTTAGTTATTAATCTTCATTGTGTTTCGAATTTCCCTTTCACATTACTTACTTAATACATCTGCTACTGCTCGTGGAAACATAGGCCAAGTTAGAGTTCGGCCCGTGATGCAGTTTGATGATTACCGCATTGTAAATCCTATCCACCTCTAGTGATCTTTCTGTAACGGTAGGTTGTTGCTGATGATATCCATCCAACGGATGTTAAGTATCTTTTGTAGACAACTGTTTAAAAATACTCGGATATTTTCCATGATGGTTGTGGTAGTTATTCGAATTTCAGCTCTGTGAAACAGAACTGTTTTGACGTTCGTATTAGAAATTCAGTTATCGGAATACCGTCCTTGCATTGCCTGTCACTTAACAAACTGGAAGGGTCATTTTTCGACTTAAAGCAATATGCAGTCGGACTGTTTAGAAAGTAATCTAAGGATCTGTGCAACAATCAAGCAAAAGTGACTAAAAAATCAAATCACTTTTCAACTCTCATTAACAATTCATTCAGTCTAGAAATGTGACACCAATAATTAGAAAGTGTAATTTAAAATAGATGACTTGTTTTACGAAAATGATTGTCATTTACTTAGTAGTAACAGACTAACACATCCAGATGCCAATTTACTAGTCTGATATATCATGAATTACATCCACAAAAAGCCTCCAAATTATATGACTAGCTAACTTTTCCATAGCAAAAGTATATTCGGTTATTTCTTACCAGTCTTTACAATTATGAATAGAAATTTTTATTCAGAACTTTCGAACCATTGTGATTAATTATCATACACATATATGAATTATAGAATCAAATTGGTGGTAACTGTTTTAACAATTATTTGCAACCATTTAAATAGTTTGTTAAAAATTTATATTTGGGGTAGTGGAATAATAAAATCAATGAATTAACGTTACACTATGTGAATATTTTGTAAAATTAGGCTAATAATAAAATTTAATACAATGAAATAATAGGAGTGAATTTGATTATAATATTTACCATTGACCAAAGTAACCGGGCAAATTGATTATTGTAGTGATCCATTGGTTGGTGGAAGAATACATGGTTTCAGCCTAGATAAATCTGATCCCAAAAAGCCTAATGGTCATTGGCTCTGTTATAGTTAGTAAACGAAGACGAGCTAAACTAAGTTTAGTTGGGATATGCATATGGTGGGGGATTCTGAATTTATATGGATTTTATCTTGTGCCCACTAGACGAAAAAAATGTTGAACTTCTAACGGGTTTATTTAGATGTTTGTCTAGCCACAATAGATAATGTTAGACAAAGCCGCAGTTTATTTATCAGATCATTCTGACTATGTAGTTACTGCCACAGAAGCACAAACATACATAAACTCGAATGGATGTGGCCTGACTCGGAGGTATATACTATAAATGTATCAGCCGTACACAGAGCGTTGTGAATATGATTTTCAGTGTATATGCACGTAGTTTATGTTCAAAGTTTTATGTAGTTCTGTCGTTAACAGTTCATTAATTAAGCGGCCACTAAGAATTTAAGAGAAATAGGATATTTTCCTGCTCCCTGATCTTAGATGGTTTTGTAACGATACTCTCGTTGTGTTATTGTATTACTGAAACTTTCCGACACTACTTTATCAAAAGAATTTTGAAGAGAATTTTGTGGAATCTCTCATTGTTTATTATTTCAGTTTTCTTACTAATAGTAAGAGTATACAGAGATTGATTTTAATAGGCTTGATATTGTTATTTAAACTAGTGTACTACAAAACTGGACGTTATTACAATACATATATTCATTTAATTCTTTGCTGAACAATTCTTATAAACAATAGCACTGAGTATCACATACCTTTATCACAGAATTTTCCAGTAAAACCGGTCAAACTACAATCACATGTTATAGAATTCCATTGTTGCATGCAAATTCCGTTGAAGCGACATGGATTCTTTGAACACTGATTCAGATCTAGATGTTTACTGTCTGAAAAGTGGCAACCCATTTGTATATTGTGCAAACTAACTTTTTGCGTATCATTTGAATATAGATAGTTCACTTGGTACCTTGATGGTATTGTGTTATTCAACTTTACATTTAATGATGACTGATCATAATCAATGGAATGATTGAATGAAAAAGATGCTACACAACCTTGAAATCCTGTTGTTCTTTGCATGTAGTTACCATATGTATCGTAGTTTGAATTTCTAAAGAAATTTAGTAAAATCAGTTAAAATACCATATATGTTTACTTTCTACTACTTATCGCTTTAACAGTAAGTTATTCAATGTTATCTTATGCTGTACGTTAGTATTTATTTTACCATATTTATGTTGTGCCTAAACTGTACATTTTAAGCTTGATTCTGATGAAGTAGATATTTTAGCCACCTTAACCCAAATGCATTTGTGTAAGTGAATAATAAAAATTTACCTCGAATTAAAAGTAGCAATGAAAAACTGTAGAGAATGTTCTTTATTCATTTCATTGATTGAATTTATGCATTCTCATAGAGTAAGATATTCAAACATTATTTCACTTTACCTATATTGATGGTAAATGAGAAATTAGAAATACCCTACGTTATCCGACCATGTTTTTAAAGAAATATTTAGCTCTATCGGAACTGTAGAAAATTTTTATATGCATACCCAATCACTAATCAATTTTCTTAATTTTAACTATTCAGTGTTTAATATCTCTTCAACAGTTCTTTCTTTGAGAAAAAAATCTCAATTTTTCTAAATGGTCATCTTGAATTTTGTAGCTGTTTTACACATCCATAAGAAAGTAATTTTGATCATGTTTACTATTTCTTAAGAATGCTTTCTAAAATTTGCATATTTCTAATTAAACAAAAGCTTCTTTACATTTTACTGTTACTTATTTTTAGAATATTGAAACTAAATTGGTTTCAAATAAAATATCTTATATTTGATTAAGATCATGAATCGATTGAAGTTTGACTACTATTGAAAACGTGGAAACACCGGACGGCTGTTTTCTCCCAGTGTGGGACTCTTTGACGTGATTTGAACCCATGACCTTCTGTCTTGTGTGCGAATGTATAACCTCTAGACCATCGAGCCATCTGGCATCCAACGATGTCATTGTCTAACTTCAAACAAGCCACGATTTTGCGCGACATTCCACCATTGTCTTTAGTGAGTAACTGTCGCTGTGTGAGGTTCTAGGTTCGAGCCTCGTATGCGAGATCGTGCGAGGAAGAAACAGCTGTTCAGTGCTTCCAAGTTTTTAATGGTGGTCTAACATCAATCAACACATGATCTTAATCAAAAACGTAACAATCTCCACAACCTCATACTGATAAGACATCTAATTGTAAGAAGTAATTTTTTAAATGTTGATATAAGAACAATGAATATTATTCACCATAATCCACATTTCATTCATACCTTGTAGATAAACTTCCAATATTTATTGTTTTCAAAGCAAAATAATTTGAAATATTCATCTTGACAATTGTCGATTGATTATTGACCCGAATAAGTATTAATTTAGTTGATTCTTGTTTGATGACCTGAAATTACGAGTTAAACAACCGTATTAGTTCTTCTTTAAATTGAAGTTTAAAGATAAATTTAAAATATCTATATTATTTCTTATAAATAAGTGTATAAGTAAATGCCTTTGATTTGTGAAACATTATGAACACTTCTTTGATAATCAAAGAAGTTTGTGACATTACAGTGAACTTGAAGAATGAACTGTTATTTCACATGAGATTTTCAAAAACGATAGCCTTATAAAAAGTTTTCAGTGAGTATTAATCTGGATAAACTTGTTTAAGATGGTACTGTACTTAATTCATTGACTACATTTGAAATACAGATAACCAAACTCTGACCTAATGATCAAAAGATGTCAAGATTGCTACTTGAGATTAAAGTCTGAGATGAACTTTTCTCCAGACCTGTCTATTAGTATTGCTAATGACCAGAGAGCTAGAATTAAACGGTTCTACAGTTTTCCTTTATTTCGACATTTATTTTAATTCTGTAACTTCGCTACGAATAACATATTCAAACTGGACAAATTTCAAAAGAGACTGCTAATTGTGTTATAGTGAAATGTCCTCTATATTGTGAACAATCGAGACCAAATTTAGTACGTTATCTAAGTCTAGTTGTATCAGAAGTACATTTATGGATGGAAAAATAATTCTGTTGATGCATACATCGCCATTATTATGTCAACCCATTTACGTAGTCATCATGCGTAGTTGTTTTGTTGAAAAATGAGCCGGTAATCGCGGAGTGACGTGATCCAAGTAAGAAACTGCAGATTTTCAGTTTTTATCTACTATTTTGGATCCACGTTTAGACTATTATTACTAAAAAAACATAAGTTTTGATTTACTCATAATATTTCAGCCTATTCTGATCACTAGTTATCTATTCCATTATATCGACTCCGCTGATTGTAAAGTTTTAATAATCAGTCTTGTAGTATATAGTGATTCAATTCATTTTTTAATCAATTTTTACTTTTAATCAATAAAATAACAGTCTATTGAATGATTTTAAATTTAGTTGCAATGCGTAAAGCATCTGTAACAGTTGAATATGAAATACGTTTTTCTAACATTATGAGATAATCAAATGGTTGGCGTAATGAAATCCACCACTGGTTCATTTGTTAGACTGTGAACAGTGTATGTTTCGTGAAGTCTAACGATACTCTCAAACTTAAGTTTGTGGATTGCTATCTAATGACTAAAAATTGATCTTTTTTTAACTGCTCAATAACAAAAAACGAATCTATACGTATCATAGCCAAGGCTGGATTTGATAGTTTCAAAAATTGTATTTCTGAGACTGCATTTCACATGCGCAATTTTTTCTACTCATTAGGATATAACAAAAATATGTTTATTATTAGAGAAGGAATCCATTTGCCTCAATCACAGTAAGATTAGAAATCTATCCGAGAATTTTATTTATTATTAATGCGTTACTTACTTCGATATGATACCATTCTCTTACAATCACTCTTTGATTTTCACCAATGAAATATTTCTCTACTTGATCATTATTCATGTGTATTAATTGTAGTCTACCATCAATTGATTCTAGAATTAAATTCTGACGGAAGCCATCTTGAAGAAAGAGAACTGTACCATATTTCTATAATCAAAAAGATGAAAAAAAATGTTGCATAAATATTAATACGAAAATATTTTTCACTACAAATCTAAAAAAATAATATTAGGAATACTTTGTTTGTGAAATTTTACAACTTATTTTCGTGTCTTATTCATGGTATAGATCACTTAAATTCTGATACAGTTTTCCTCTCAAAATGAGTAAGTGAACAAACAAGCAAAAACAAGGAAATATTAATCAACTAGTTTATTACGTTCTCAGACTCATCAGCATTAGGGATCCAGTACCTCGTCAAGGTTTAAATCAGAGATATTGAAATCACACAATAAGAACATATACTGAAAATCATTAAGTCGACATTATCGACGCCAATCGATATATGACATCTGAGTGATAATAGATGGGAAAATTTCGAAAGCATTCTTAAAGTTCTGCTGAAATAGTGTACTAGATGGATTTCAACTAAGATCATAGTGTAGTACATGTCATCGAAGTCTACGATAATACATAATGAACTGACTAGTTATTTTTTCAAATTGTATATTTGAGCCACTTATTCAAATAAATGAATATTAATTACGTTTTTATTTAGACATTTTTGTAATAACTTAGTAGCTTTTTCACTTATTGTAAAAGTAACAAAAATCACTATTTAGCTATTAAAATGTAAAACAAATTAGTTGTCTTGAACCTGAATTCTAAGACATAACAAGAGAGAATAAACTTCAACAAATTCACAACGTCAGGGTATTTACAATGAATTCTTATATAAATGAAAAAAGTTGTTGAAAATATTCAAAGGATAATAAAACTGAAAAATGGAAAAAGATCTAGAATTTTTACGGGATTAAATTCATTCAGATACTAGTCGTTATTTCAGTAAGAAAATGTTCAACTTACATTTTGATATATATCTAGACAATATATAATTCTTTCAGTTATGATTCTACTTACACGCTATGACGTAATTCTGTAGTTACAGATTAAGCAGCTCGAAAGTTAAGAGAACATAATCAAAACATTTCAGAGGACGAAACGGTCGTCCAGTGCTTCCAGGTTTTTAATGTGGTCTAGCTTCAATTGACTCAAGATTTCAACTATTGACATTTCTAAAATCTCCACAAAACCTCTTCTGACATAAATAAAAGTAATTGAAAATAATTTTTCTTTCAAAACCCATTTGAATTTTTATGGAGGGTGGGTGCTAATTTTGCTTTCTTTTTCTTTTATAGATTTTAGGTTAATTATTTGAATGTTTACTGAACCATCAAAGGAGAAGATATCTATAAAAATCAATTCTACAGAAATAATCTAGCATGAAATAATTTACTTTATTCAATCTGTTTATTTCCAAGACAATAAACTTGTTTTAATGAGATACCAATTATAGATAATGTTTAAAACTAAAATTAAAAAATTGATTAAATCTTTAAAATAAGGTTTATACTGTTATGTAACGAATTATTTAAATCATTATTGTTGTTTCTGTCAGAAATTTTATGCAGTTAGTTCCCTTTATGAATTTAATTAAAGCCAGAACGAAGATGGATACAGAATAATATAATATCATTAGTATTTCGTGGTTTCTCATCAGTTCCTTACAACCAAATATGCATTAAAATTTTACATTGACGTAAGATATAGTGTGAAACAATTGACATAAGTGAATTTAAAGAATTGGAGTGAAAAAGGTTATCTATAATAATTGTAAAAACTTGAGGAATGTCAATGGTATGCCAGGTGTCAAGTTAATGTTAAGAGCGAATGTCCCTCGCGGTCTCGATTTCATTGGAACATGCGGACATATACTTTTCTCTCTGTTCTTCCAATGTATGTGCTTTGGCATGTACATGTAAATTGATAAATGCATTTGGAGCTAGTTAAAAATGAAGACCTGTCAATTTTAGTTTGTTTGAGCGAGCAGTTCGTTTCCAATATCGTCGTTAGTTTTACTGCTGGTCACCTTCAACGCGGAATTTATCATGCGATTAATTATTCCAATGATTTAATATCCTATGAAGCTTAAGTATAAGAAGCAAGTTTTATTCCACTGCTTTTCTTCGGTTTTTTGATGCGAGTGCGATCTATGTATTTAAAAAGATACAGTATTAAACCTATTACTACCCTGATAATTCAATTTTTTGGTCAGTAATTTTATTTTGTTAATGTTTACTTTGTTATGTTTCTCTTCCATTACCGAATTTTTATTTTATGTACATTTTAACCACCCTTTTATTCATACATTTCCACTCACTCCATTCTCTTAAATTCAGTAAACTCTTCTAATTCTGCTCAATTATTACGTAACCCATCTTATCAGATTATTTTATTCCCTGAATCTTATGTGAATCCTTCATTACCTCTAAAATTATCACATAATTTGTTTTATTTGTCTATAAACTTCACTCAATTGTTACATCACTCATCCCCAATGTTTTCTTGATTCTAACAACAAATAACCACTGACCTTTTCTTGCATATATATATATATATATATATATATATATATATATATATATATATATATATATAGTTATTATTGATAACTTTTGTCATTCCAGTTCTTTAAATTCACTTATGTCAATTGTTCCACACTATATCTTACGTCAATGTAAAATTTTAATGCATATTTGGTTGTAAGGAACTGATGAGAAACCACGAAATATAATGAATTCATATTATTCTGAATCCATGTTTGTTCTAGATTTATTTAGATTTATGTTGACAGTTCAATGGTATAATTAAGTTTAGTGGTCTTTAATTTGTTCACTTTTTTCAGTAACAATCAACTAATGTTATGTAAAACACTCCACTTCAGTTAGTTGAATGTAAGCTGCTTACATAATTTAAGACAACTAATTTATTCAATGAATGAAAGTATTTATGGGAAATACTTGATTAACTTGTCGAATTGAATCTCTAATCTACAAACGTTGAACATAATGTGCTCGTGTTTGCTTATTGGCAAATCTCACTAATGTAAGTGGTTTTTTAAGATTCTGATTGTAACCTTAATAGTAATTAAATTGTTTATTTATGATATAAATGAAATTATAGTAATAAAGAGGTTATCAGTAGCAAAAACGAAATCTGTAAATTATTATAGTATTAATACAATAAATCACTACTTCTACGTGAGGAATTTTAAAGTTTCTTTTTATGTATTCCGTATCATATTCATACTGTGTATCTGACATTTTCCACTAGTCTGAATCATCGCACTTGTAACAACATAAATATATAGAAGGTCGGATTAACAAACCAAAGGTTTTCCTAAGCGTTTATATAGTTTAATGTAATTAATTATCTAGGTTATCACTTTTCGTTCTTGTTTACGTGAACTCACAACCGATAATAGCTCTTCAATAGAAATCGTGGATTAATGTCGGGAAAACATAAATATAGAGAATGCGGGGTGCAAACCATTTATTGAGAATTTTATAATAATATAAAAACTTAACAAATGTATAAGCTTTCACAACTCACCTTCCATTTTATCCACATTCCCAGGATAAATTCACTTGTAGAATGTTCAAGTTGAATTTCAATGTTAGAATCTTTATTGTTAAATGTTAATGGTAACTCATGATTTGGTTCATAATTACTTTGAGTAGCTGTAATATCTAGTTTATCTTTCCAAATGTATAAACTTGGATCATGTTTTAAATTTTGAGCAGTTCGTAAATAATCAACTCCATTAAATAGAAAAACCATTATGTAACCAATAAAAACATGAACATTCAAATTGTTTATCTGTTTGATGTTGTGATTGAATTGTGTTGGTGTGTCAATCAACTGGTTTGTTAGAGAATCTTCAGAATTGCCAAGGATTAAATGACGATGTGAGAGATAACGACCATCTTTTGGAATGTCTAAAAGTTAAAATATTTAGTTCATATCAGTTGAAGCTTTTGGAAAATTTCACTTTATTCAGTTTTTTTATTTATCGTGAGAAATCATATCTTATCGATTGAATGTCTGATAATACAAATTCCTTGAATTCTACATTGAAAGCTGTCAAAGTAATTTCTGAGATGGTTGAGAAGATTTGTAGCTAAGGTGGATGATTTTGAGATTTTGTTCTCTGAGCTGGATGATTTGGTCGTATAACTTCCGAACACTTCACTTCTACATGAAGTTTGTGTTGGTGATGTCATTCAGAAGAACGATAAAAGCTCCACGACCAAACCATCCAGCTGAGAGAACAAAACTCAATCAAAAGTGGTTTCTGTTGAAACAACTAAACTGAATGGCAATGCGATGAATATATTCGATTTATTAAGATCAGTAGCGGTTCTCAAATGTTTCTAATTAAAGACTCGTTACATAAATTTAGTTTTTCTTATATGAAGTGTACGAGACTTTTTCAAACGACTTATATATTCTTAAATGAACTGAATCCTTTCTTTATGTGTACTGTTGAAAATTGGTTTATGCTTTATATAGAAAACGTATTTTAACGGGTTTCCTGGAGCAATAAACGTACTTATTTCATATTTATTTACTTGAATTGGAGCATATATAATGGTAAAATGAAAATATTAGATAACTTTTATCCCTCCTGAATAATTTCAATTTTAAGCAAGGAAAATGAAATGTACTTAACCGTGCAATAGGCTGAATAAGTATAAGTTTATTTCACATTGTATAATGACAAATAAACTTAATACCTACCAAAAGTTTGAAACAGATTATCAACCGAGAAGTTGAGAACATTTTGTCTTCTATAAATTTTTACAGTGTGCCATTGATCGTCAGCTATATACACCGGGTTATGGTAAATCTGAAATGGAATCAAAACATCATTTACCATTAAATTAGTGATCAAACATACGTATGCTTATTTTACGACTTTTTTGAGAATTAAAGATCAATTCCATGGTTAATAAATTGTCACGAATTATTGAAAATTAAAAAGTATAGTTTTTTAGAGTGAATTCTACATTTGAGCACCTAAACAGACAAATACTAGAGTAAAATAATCTGTGAATATAACCTTGTACGGACTGACATTAATCAATTAACTGAATTGGGTTTATTGACAATATCATTTATGATACAAGATCAAAGTAAAATACTTTATCCGAGAAAGTAATTAACGTAAATAGCAGAAATAAAAGGTAGAAATTTAATAAAGATGAAGTAACATGACTGAATAGAATTGAATTATGCAAAAAAAGAGACAAAACTATGAATGTGAGAAAATCCCACATTGATCAATCTTACCGCTCATTTTCAATGCCATTATTTGTCTTGACATACTTTTCAATGTCTACAACTTAGGGTCTTATTTATTCTGTTTAACTGAGATATTTTAATGGGATTAAATTCAATATCTAGCCCATCATAAAATATCCTGTGTAGATTGCTTTGATATTATTTCAATTCACAAACATTATAAGTAAAGGTGAATGCTGGCTAGCAAACGAATGCAGGACGCACGTTTCGTTCTATTTGGCACTTGTCAATTAGATGTACCTGAATTCCATTGTTGATGTTCACTATGGGAATTTATTGTTTCATTCGTATTGCATTGCATTACTTATGATTTTCCAAGTTTATTTTTAACTTAAAATTTTCTTAATAACTTAAAATAGATATTTTTGCAAATGTTGTATGGGTAAAGCAAACCTTAAACGAGTGAAAATACCATTTGTGTAAACATACTAAACATCATCAGTTGTGAATTATTTGCGAAAAAAAGCAAATAATAATATTTACTTAATATAATCCAGTTTTACAAGTCGTTATTTGAACACATTTCGAAAATTATATGGAATTTTATAGTTTCATTTATTAGTATAATAAGCCTTAAATATTTACACTGATATCTTTCCATGTATATCGTGTGTTCAAGTACTGTTAAGTAAACATATGAATAAAAATTGGGGCAAAGATAGGTTATTTACAGATAGCGTACATCGTTTACTGAACTAATTTTAATTATAGACCAAAATAGGTTACTTGGCAAAGAAGTCATTTTTATTTTTCTAAAGATATCGCTGAAACGATATAATGCACAAAAAGATGTTTCCAACTAACATGTTTTTTAAATAAGGTTGAGAAAGTGATTTATATCTCGTTATTATTTAGTTGACAGAAAAATACTACATGGCATTTAATTAGATGTTTACAAAGGTATACAAATCCCATGAGTAGCTAGAAACAACGAAAAATCCTATTGCGTCAGGCGGAAAAATAAAAACTGATATAAAAAAAAATAATTTTCATTACTAAGGCATCGCTTATTAAACATGTACAATCGTAGGTTAAATTTTAATTTACAATGTTATCAAATGAGTTTCTTGAGTTTAACAGTTAGCATCCACAATCTTGCACGCAGGAATCGAACCCAGTAACTTTGGTCATGTGCACGAAATCTTAACATCTATACCATGGAGCCAACTGGCACCCAGCAGTGTTAATGTCTAAATTTAACTCATCAACGATATTGTGTGACCTTTCACCACTATTTCTAGTACCTACCTCTGTATGAGGTCTTGTGTACGAGTCCCGCGTGCGGGATCGTGGATGAGCATTGCTGAGTATTTCACACAAGGACGAAAGAGCCGTTCAGTGCTTCCTGGTTTTCCAATGTTGGTCTAACTTTGATCCATTCATGATATGTCTAAATGAAATTTAGTTGATAATACAATGGGAACACGTAAATTCACTAGAAAAATGTTATCGTTTTTCAGCAAAGTTATGTGTATACTTTAATTATATGGTCAAGATTATGCGGTTGTACAAAATGGATATTTTTTATAGGCATATTTTTGACAAAACATTAATTGGAAGTTATAAAATATTGCATTGCCTTCATATATAAAAAGGAATTGAATTTTTTTATCAAGTAACATCCAGGCTCAGTTATTGACTTATTGGTATTTGTCAGTTTAACACTAGTCTATGGTGCTACATTTGTAGATTTTATATTTGATAATTAACTGAAACCTGTCTTCGAACAGTTGGTAGTCATGATCAGAACATCTATTTCGAGGTTCAGAATTTCAAAAAACGGTATATATAATATATATATATATATATATATATATAAGTTTTACCTATGAATACAGCAACATCATTTATTTTATTCAGTAATATTTAGCTTATAAAACCACATTCCTAACTCTCAAGTTTGAATAAATGAATGGATGTGGCTTTCGAAGTTTAATTAAAATACAATTCTACACTGTGTCATTGCTGATCGGTTTGGTGTGTGAATCTAGAGACAACACAATGTGAGCCTTTTGTAATTAATGTTACCAAGTTATTTGGTAGTAATTCAGGCAGCTGAAAAATTAATAAATAGTTTTAATAAAGCCTAAACTCCCTCAAACTTAATTTTCATGTTTTATGTGTATTTTTTCCATATTTTTTTAGAAAGGGAAAGTTTTGTACTTAACATTCCTATTAAACCAATGAAACATATTTAATGCTCGTGTTTTGGAAGTAATATTTAATTGTTGTGTACACTAATAAGAATATTTTATAAGGACAGATCATTCAAATTGGTTAATAACTAAGTCATTTTAAGTAAGAAACTGGTCACAGTCACTTTCCTTACTTGTTAAATCAGATTGTGGAGTAAGTTTCTCATTTCAGTACTAAAAATAGATTTCTGTGATGAAAATGTAAAACTTATTATTATAATACAAATATGCCCATAATCATTCATTTAGAGGTAAATAAAATTGAGAAAAAAACTACTGTTGTGAAACAGGTATTGTTTGAGTCGAGAACTGTTTATAGGAGTTTATCTAAAAGTTCTGCAACTGGAAATTCAACATTACTGTATTACTAAGGCTAGTCAACAGTATTTAATGTAAACTAATCTAATTTGATTTATTTATGTCTAAAACTGTTTTAAAAATATGTAATTAGTTAAGTTGTAAATTCGAGGTATAATCATTAGAATGTGAACAATTAATGCAAAACAAAACAAACCAAACATTATGTTATGGTAATTAGGGCGATATTGACAACCATACCCTATGAACTAGAAAAGTCTATCCAATTAAAAATCATTTGAACTCAGTGTTAAATCAAAATTTATCATAACACGGCGTCAATTTTAAGTATATTACTGAATGAAAATAACAACCCTATTCGGATAAATATATTCAAACTTACATTGTCTACTGCACCTAAATTATATATTAACGATAAATAACCAGAAATAATTTTCAATTCTAAACAATCTGGTGCTGATAAAATAGAACTTCTTGTAGTTAGTAGAAATCCGTCTTCATATTTGGTTCTAAATCTCAAAATCAACTCTTCAACGGATGACTGTACAGGTAATGGGCTAAATTTTATCCATAACCATTGAAATCCATCGAAGCTAACAATAATAGGATCTAAATAATTCAGAAAAACATATATTCGTATAACAGTGGTCAACATATAATTTTACCAATTTCAAACTAATATTATGATATAAATATACAACGATATAAATTAGGTGAAATTATATGTGAGTTTTTATGTATGTATGTTCGTGTGTATGTGTGTGAGGTTGTGTACAGTTGATGTAATAAAACAACGCCGTTTTCTTTTTTCAAATTTTTATTTTACTACTAGTTCAATGTTTTATTTCATTTTGTTATATTCTAAGCAATAAATTCAACTGTCTTCATAAATTTTCTTGGGTTAATAATTGAAATTTTATTCTTATATTATCACTAGGTATGTTGTGTCTCTCTTTTTTGGTTGAAAAAAAATATTCTGTTTTATTAAAATAATTTATTGTCGACCAGTGATAAAAATTTGATTAATTAACAAGCTCTATGTTGATATGACTTCTGATTATGTAATCAAGATATCACTTTAAATCATATTAATTCGATTATGATCATAATAAGTTTCTTACCAAAAAAAATTGTTAGTTACTATAGAACAAAGTGAATATTGGGTCAATATAAGGAAACATGGATTATTTTCAAATGATATAATTGATGATGTATGTATTTTACTGTTTGTAGAACAAATGCTTATTTTTAACAGAAATTGACCAAATTATGTCAATATTAAACAATTGTAAATGATGTGTTAATTCACAATAATTTATCTTACAATGATCATTTATTTTCATGGCAGATAGTGAAAGCCAAAGTGTAAAGTATGTCTGAAAAATATAACTTCAGCATATTTCGACCCCTTTCGTCCTTATTAACATTAAAACAATACACTAATTGTGGTTTATAACCAGAATCTGTTGGACTAATAATAAGTGTATAGCTCTCATTTGAATGATTTTACCAAGCATAATTACATTGTGATAAGCTCCTGTAATAAGTTATTTCAGATTGTATATATTTGTATTAGCGATCAATCACAGGGAGCATCCGTTTCCTTAAGATGACAGGTACACCCTTCTGACGATTGCAAAATACAGGGTTTCTTGTCGACTATCTCCAATCACCATCTCAAATTATTAATATTCAACCGTATATTTACGTTAAATGCATACTCAATAAAACAAACTGAAATGCTAAAACACTGACGAATTCGCATATTATCAAGTGTAGCACTTTGAAGGATTGTTACTGCTGTTCTTGATACTGTTTTATTAGTAATAATACCTGGTCATATGAGTTGCTAATATTTTTAGTATAAACCATTCTAGATTGATTCCATAACAGTATGCATCCACTACCCTATCTGAGACTACATTCAGGCCCTACAAATCCTGTGGCCATGCGATCAACTTTCAAATTACTGAGGCTGCTTCCATTGGTTTACAATTTTAACCTAAATCATTTAGTGATATTCCGTGGCCATTATCCATTGTCACTGATGTTATTTATTTCACATCCAACATATTTGAACTAAACTGGAGAATGTTAAGTTTAACGTTTCACACCATGGACTTACTTTGTTTCGCTTTCCAGGAAAAAATAGACGAGTTGTTAAAATCTACAAGGACTTACTTTCTGTACATGTTTTTCCACTAAAATTAGTATTACTGCAGTCACATTCATAAATATTCCAACTAGAGATGCATTGACCTTTATTCCTACATGGTTTATCTGTACAAAAATCTATTGAAGGAGACAATTTACATCCATATTCCACAAAAGGCTTAGACCAACATGGTCGTCTTTCTAACTCGATATCCCATAAGCGCTTATTTACAATGAATTCACCTAAACATCCAACAAAATCTTGTCTTAATTGCGCTGACCATACTTCAGGTGATATAAATGAGTTAATTTGACGCACTGACTCAGGAAGACCTCCAATATAAAAGTATTCATTCAAATTTAAGTATTTATATCTAGATAGAAAAGCAATAACATATAAATAGTTGATTTACAGTTGCATAAGTGAGTAAGCAAATGAAATTTGATTTGTGGGTGTGTTTTTAGTGTGCTCTTAAGGTGATGGAAAGATGAATTTTTTGAAGTATTTTTAACTATTAGCCTTTATTGTAGTTAGTCAAACCTCTGTGATATATTTGAATGTTCATAATACCGACTCGATGATTGTTGAGTATGACCGATTATTGTTTTTCAAATGTACTGAATTGAAAGCATTGAGCTTGAGTTGAAATACATGAGCGAAGTCTTTCATCTGCGAAAAATTTCACCCTCATGTGAATGAGTTTTTTTTCCTATTTACTAATTAAATCATTACAAAGTTATTACAAAGTTCTTTATCTTCTAAAATCTCGCTGTACGTCCTCTGAAGTACAGTATCAATCCAAGGTACACATTTTGATATTTCATAACGAAATCGTCTTTTGTGTTTTAAATCATTTTTATTTATATTCTCAAGTACTTGATTAGATTTCAAAAAATATCCATCATTTGATCCTTACCTCTATTGTAACACATTTGAACATTTTTCTCAATATTATCTAGATCTCGTGATGGTCTACCACAGAACAAATGTGCTGATTTGAATTTTATGATTCAAATTAGATAGTTAAATTATATTATTTAAATTCTTGTTAACTAAGTAGTGTTAATGGGACAACTCATTCTCACTGTGAGAAGTAAGTTTAATATGAGCAGAAAAAAATTTACAAGTTTAATTGAATTTAATGATAAAAATTAATTATCTGGTTTTCGGAGACGATAGTGTTCTATGTTAACCTTATAAAATATGTAAAATTCCTTACATTGTGTGAGTAGATGTACAATAATGGAGGATACAGTTAGTCAACTAGCATCTATATCTATTTGTTTACAAAATTATCTCAGGAATATAAATAAAGTCGTGTTTTATGCATTATAGAATAAAACTGACGTTCAAAATATTTCAGCTTCATAAAGTGTGAACAATCTTTAATGTTGCATTCAGTTTTTATAAGATGTTTATGAAAAGTTATTCTGAATAAATAATAATCTATCGGGCAGAACTAAGTTATCTTTTTGAAAAAGTATATCATATATATATATATATATATATATATATATATATATGATTTGTAATCAATACTGCTGTTATCAGCTAATAGCCCGGGATCTGACTCGTTATATCGTATGATTGATTGTTATTGAAATATACATATCGCCAATTCTCGTATATAATCATCGACTTAAATCGCGTTGATGGATAATGGAATTAACTAAGTCAAATACGTATATTTTGTACAATAGTTGATCGGAACACACAATCAGAGAGATGTAGCGAAGGAAGGGAAGAAGAGAGTGCGAAACGACGCACAATGGAGAAGGCATGTGAGCCAACTTCATTTAATCAAGCGTTAATCAATATTTATTGTCACACAAAAATAAGCTACAGACATGTAATGAGTAGGATAAGATGTACACACAAACGATTATTTAAAAACAGTCATGGTTGATAAGTGAATAATTAACAAGGTCAAAACGTGACTCAAAAAGAATGGATATACTGGCCAGTCCAGAAGCTAGAGTAAGTTATCTGGGTTTAATATACTAACTGACACTACAATCAAAACATATTATATAATATTTATGATTTATGTTCTGGAAACTTTTTTTGAGTTTCTCATCATTTCTTTTATTCTTCATTCAGAAATCTGTTTAAAAAATATATTATGGCAGAATGCTTTGCATAGTGAACAATTTTACATTAGCTAAGCAAAATTGATTTTTCTAAACAACCTTTATGTGTTTGTACGAATATTTATCAAGATTAGAACGAATAGTTTGACAGAAATCGGGCTCCGAGTATAGAGAAGTCATTATATATGAAAATGATATTTGGAATAATCTAAGAGATTGAAATCTAAATAATTCCAAACTTTCATCCTGAAGAAGTCCAGACAAGTTAGCTGGACGAAACGTTGGAATTATTTAAATTTCAATCCCTGAAATTATTTCTAATATAATCTTGACATATAATAACCTTTATGTGTATTTCAAATTAATTTATCTACAGGATATTATACTTAAATAATCTAGAGTATCTATGAATATAAATGTCATATAGTTTCTAAGCAATGATTAATGTTATTACGGTTCACAAATCATTATAAATAATTTTTAGTCTTTTATTATCATGTTTAAAACAACATAAACTCACGTTTTAATTCCTGTACCATGTGTTACAAAGTTTTCACCATCAACATTTATTGTTAAATCTCCTTCATCAAATACAATTTGAATAGAATGTTCTTTTCCATCGGAAATAAAACCTTTACTTTCTGATTCAAAATATTTTCTATCAAATTCTGGTTGAACAATACCTGATCCAGTATTTAATAAAAAATGTAATCTTCCTAAACGTAACTCTAAAGCAAATATATCGAAACCAGTTTGTTTTACTTCATGTATATTCTCTAATAAATTTGGTTCATTAATATCTCTTGGAAATAATTCATGTTCATTTATAGAATTACTATAAATAATTAATCCATTAAGAGTAGTTGTACGTAAAATAAATGTTATTTCACCATGAAGAACAACTTTCCAACCTGTTATTCTTAAATAACTACCTGGTTTAGTAAATGATACAAAACTGTTTCGTTTTGAATTATCTATATTTAATTTTGGTTGTAATAGTTTGTAATCACAATTACGTAAATTTGATTGAACTGGTAATTGAGATTGAATATATTTTGTGTTTTTTGTAATTAATAGTGGAATAAATATTTCTCCACTTTTATAAATAATCTGTAAGATAAATAAAACATAAACTGATGCTTTCTCACATATAAACCAAAAGTCAAAAGAAATCCCATAATTGGTGATCATAATAAAGTTAATTGCTTAGTATGGTCTATTCTATAAATCATAAGGGAATAACAATGCTTATTTTATATCGAAATGTCCATGAAAAGTTACTTTTTCATGGAAAACATTTTCACATGGTTACCACTTTAAAAATAATTTCCATACGATTGTCGTAAATTATTTATTTACTGACAGTTAACTAATCAATAAATCTAAAGTTCGTTAACATTAAAATTCAGTTTTTTTCTTACTTTAGTTATTATTCATTATAGAGATCATAAAGTTTAACGGCAATGCCAAAGAAAATTTGTCAGTAAAATAATCAACTATAGGTGTTTTTTTTCTCGATGTACTCATATATATCCTTCTCAACTTTGTATTTACATATTGTCATTTAAACTTAGTGTTACCATAAAAAAGGAATTCACTTTGTCAGATGAATTAGGCACTAAATTGCACTACATAATTTCCTAATATGAGCCAATATCATTTTTTCAATCTTGAAGGGACGGATGCTACGTGTATGATATGTAAAACAGCACCTATTGTCATAGGTAATAAATTTACCACAGAGTTAATTGTACTCCAGCTGACTTTTTGTAGAACTAAAATTTTTCATATTGTTTGGTCATTTGGCAGCAACTTATGTCACGTTTGCCTGATCCGTAGTTTTGTTTGAATGCAATTGATTCAATTTAGTTGACTTAAGTTTTTGACGAACAACTAGAATATATTTATGCATCCTGCTCTTTTCATAATTCATGAAGTTATACATTTCCATTAGTCGTTAAACATTAAACAACGTTTGACAAACTAAAGCAATATTAGTTTGTTATTAACAATATAAAACAAATAAAATTTTCTATTTATTAAACTTTTAAGCTGCTAAAATTTGCATCATTAAACACTGAATGTCTATAAACAAGCATCATAATTCACGGTGTTCTATTCAAATCCCAGGACAACTATTGTTTTGAAAGTGTACATATTGTCATAAGTTTTGGTGTTTTAGATTTACGTTAATTGACATACAGTGTTTGTGAAGCACCTGTGTCTATGAGATTCCATTGCTAAAACATATTGAGAATTTATTTGATGAAAAACTCATGATATATCACCACGATGATTCGTGTATTTTGCTCTTTGTCAGTGCTTTGGATAAACAATATATATGTATTTCGAATGTATTTGGCAATACTAAAGATGTCATAGGAACAAAACTAGTCTTAAACAATGACATGCGACTTTGAATTGTTGCCAGTTTTTGTTTAAAATTTGTTTATTCATTAACTGAAAGAAAATATTGTACCTATCAATATCATTTTATTTCATTGAGAGGTAGTAAACGAATTGCAATAAACGAAAAAACTTAAATTTCATTGTGAGAATTAGTGGTAGAACTGATTATTTTTTTCAGAGTCTCTAATATATCACTGATATAACTTGACAAAACATTATTCGAACCATTAGTTGAATCCATGATTACACATTTTCCATTATCACAAATAATTTATGTTCAATTATTCCAATGAAATTAAAATAAGGATAACTTTCCAGAAGCCTAGAGATAATTAATTATTGATGTGTTTATGCATGATAAACAGTATTTTTTCTCAAAGAGACAAATAATTGCAAATTATTCATAATTAAGGAATTTGATATGATTGCTTAGATCTTTCTTATAACCATGCGTAATTGATAGTAGAAATTGTGGAAAAATTAGTCGGGAAAATAGTGATAAATAATTTTGCTTTTTACAGATTTACCAGTTTTAATTTGAACTAATGCTAGCCAACCACTCATTTAAGGAATTAGTGGATGTCTACTACAAGAAGTTCTAGACGTTTAGTGAGAAGATGTACCTGTTGAATTTTAAGAATATTGGGGTAAGACAGTCAGCTTCTTCTGCCACTTGATGAAATTTTTAGAGTTAAAAATTCCAAATACTGAATATAAACTCAGAAACTAAATTTCAGAAGCTGATCATGAGACGTAAATGTACTGGTTTTGATCTACGAAGGACATAGTTGTCATGCTGAAAATTTTCAAACCAGGAACAAAGATCTATCTAGTGCTCTCTGATTTTGAGTTCATCATTTGATGTTAATCTTTGATGAAAATTCACCCCATCTAATTACTGAGTCCTTCAATCAACAATTTTATTTCTTAATGGCTAATGTAAAAATGATCAAGTGATAATTATTTGAAGTTAACAATAAACTTTATAGAATATGAAATGACAATAACAATAAAACTGCTTTAAATTACATGACTGAACTTAAATAAAATGTAATCAAGAAAGCTAGGGAAACATACCGATTGAAAGCAACCTCTAAAATTTGTTAGGTTTCCAATACTTGGAATAAATCGTGTAAACGTTTCTTTTGAAGTATTCAAAAAACTTCCTCCCAAGTGCATAACTCTTATAGTAATTAATCCGTCTTGACCAAGTGGATTTAATTTGACTTGAGGTTGACTGTCAAGTACAAGTAATATCTGTTAAACACATGCAGAAATTACGTTGCAGTAAGTTGAGTACACGAATCATTAATTAAAAAAATAAAATAGTAGTTTAGAACATTCATCCAAGGAAACGATAATTGTGTGCTTTATTGTATCTTCACGTGGAATTGAGCAACGAAAGTAAATAAGCTACTAAAACTAAAACAACTAAATAAAATAAACACTGATAAATTCATATATTTTGGTTGTTTGAAAAATTTCCCAGAAAACAGGTTTTGGAACGTAACTCGTAACCTGTCTGTTGATTTTGATTTTCAACATGAATGTCAATCAGAATCTCATTAAATGTCAAGCAAAAATGAATAACCAATTAGGTCAAAGAAGTGAACATGAACGTTTACGGTGATAAATAGTGCTACACTTACCATGGCTTGATGATTTTATTGATCTTATACAATCGTATATATCCCTTTACATTTAAACATTAGTATTCATTAGGGTGAGTAACTGGTTGGTATGAAATAGTCTTAGTCTGATCAACTGTGTTTAAAAGTTCTGAATGACGTTGAGCAAACCCTTTCGAATCTTAAGGAGACATTTATTCCCATCAACAGTTTAGACAGGTCTTGGTGATGAGTGACAGATAACACGAAACCTATATTTAGGGTTTCCTCAAGAATGATTCCAAACATATTGCACCAAAATGTCCAGTTACTTACTTAAGGGCTTAGTTAAACGTAATAGATAGAATTTGATCCCTAATAATGACCAGACAATATGGTATTGATTATCAATAGATTATTGATTAGTATTGGCACCACCATTATGTATCAAGCTCCACGGCTTGAAAGTGCACTAGTTCTTTTACAAACTGGATCCCTAGAACGAAAATGTACCACTTATTTTATGTTTCATTAAGCTAATGAAGCTTAGACGTCGATCAATAATTTTTGGACCCTGAATAAACTAACTATCCCTTTACATATTTTGCCAGTTACAATGTATTCTTTCGTAATTTCACTGAAATTTTTATTCCTTTCATTCTATTTTCCTATAGTATTAGACTATTAAAATTCACTTCAAATGATTTTCTCTGAGTGTGTCATCAGTTGACAGTTGACATTCTGATTGAATGTAGATTTTCAAGCAAATCAAGTTGCTTTAAAATTTCATAAATTAAAATGAAGTTTAAAAAATAAAAAAATTTTCAGACTGTATTAATGACGATTGCTTGCGTTCTCGTAATTTTAGTTGTCTCTTAAATAAGTTAGATTACGATGCTGAATGAAGTTATATCACAATAATATACTGTAGTGCTCAATAATTATACCTTAGTATGGTGAGATATTCTCAGTCGCAGTCTATATTAGTCGGATTGTATAATCGAAAATGGATTGAGTATGACTTAGATATTCTTGATTGAAAATTGTCAAAAATAGATAGTTGCGTTAATACACATGGTCAAGCATTTTGATTATAAAATTCGTAATCTCCTGGTCAGTGGAAATCACTTTGATTTACTAATTAATAATTTCCAATAATTGGGATTTAAAAACTTATAAACCTCATATTCAAATGGTTTGAAAAGCTATATATTCGTTATATATGCTTCCAGGTTTTCCATGGTGGTCTAGCTTCAGTCGATTCATGAAATTATTGTAGAAATCTTAAATGAGGGTTTTGTTTCTCCTTGGATCGACTTTTTTACTTTGATGATATCTAAGTGTATATTTTCCAGTATTTGTAAGGATAAAGTACAAAACATCTATTGCATTAAATATGAATATTTGGTTGTTAATCATCATCGCGTTTAATGAATCTGTTTGTACTTTTTTCATTAAACAAATTTCTGGAAAAGTTCTATTACAGTTACAAAGTAGTTTAGCTTAAAACTTACATCATTCTTTTTTATTGTCAATAGAATTTGGTGCCATTGTGTGTCAGCGCAGGTGTCATAATCAGATATACAGGAAATGATCTTTTGAGCGTTTGCATGGTTTAAATAAGAACGTTTTTCTGAAAAATGGTTAAACAGATTTACAACCAATGCTCCGTTTAATAAGTAACCAAGAAGATAAGAATCAACTTTCATCTTTGTATGTTGCGTCAGTATACTGGTTAATTCTGTTATAAAAATGTGAAAAAAAAACTATAAATTTATTATACGTTTAAGGAATATTAGAATACAGATTAAAACATCAGAAGCTTTGTATCCAAAAGAAGCCGGTTTAATTATTTCTGTTAATTTGGTATGTCTTAAACTCAATAAATATTCTTGTCACACAATGATAAACTAAAGCTGATACTGATTTTCTCCTACCCGCCTTATTTCACCAGGATAATTTTTCATTAGTCAATTAATTTACTTTCATATAGCTAAAAATGACATGAAATATATATCATATATTCACTACCTCTTAGTTCTCAGTTGGTCAAACACGCTGTAATTCATGATAATGTAATGTCGATAATGTAATTATGATAATATAACTCTGATTACATTTATTCCTATAAATAATTTGTTAGCCAGTGTGGACCTGATTAATGAGATGTTCCAATATTGTTCATTTTAATTGATCTCATCTATATATGGTTTACCTGGCTGAAAATATTGATTATAATGATTACTTCAACTTGATTTTATGAGATACGTTTAAGATTTTTAAATAAAATATTCTTACCCTTTATATTCAAAGTCAAATATAAACTCGACTAAGCAAATAGACACATGTAAATGAAAAGCATGGATCGATCTCAGCCATCGAAACATTAAAAACAGGAATTTTTGAATAATCATTATGTTTCAATCTGAAAGTTATCATTTAAAACATTTTTATAAAACTTTCTGTCATGAGTATTTTATTGTTCTAATACTTACCAAAATGTGCTCAAAACCGACATCATTCGGATGAGCAAAGTTTATTCTAGTTTATCGTAGTATCACAACGTAATAAAATGACTGTCTTGTACAAGCCTTGTATTTGTAAGTTCATCATATTACACTTAGGAGTGAATCATACACTGTTCTTATTGCATTCATTAAAGTTTCATTGGATTATTAAATCTTGCTGGATATGATGGTCATATAACCTGCTAATTAAATGAGCCATTATTTATACCCATTATAGACCATTTGTAATCTACGAAAGTAGTCACTGATCATTTCTATACTATACACTTTTTGATAAGTTATTACGCTTTATAAAAACCAATTTCTGTTTACCAATAAAAATTTCTTTGATATCTAGTTAGAGTGATAGCCATGTAAGGATCAACTTTTACTTCTTTGCTCGTTTAATGAAAATGTTTTGAAACTATATTAATATAACAGATAAAAAATATGAATATTTAGGAATCTATCAATGTACTGTGTATAAAGGATGATAGAAAGTGATGTTAGTGAGAACCGGTCAACAATATTAAGGATAAACCTGACACATTTCATATTTTGAGGCTAAAATTCGTAATATTATTCAATGTGAATTACTCTTATTTTGTTAATCATTCACTAACTGTAACAGATAATAAAAACTTCAATGATCACTTGGCAAAATTAAATTATATTTCATATAATGAAATCACCTAAATGTTTTGAGATATTTGTATCATTAAGTTAATAATAATTTTGTTGAGATCACTGAAAAAATTTAAACATTTAAAAGATGTGGGTTTTTTCAATTTGTTGAAGAGTGTTGTGGTTGCTTGAAAACAGTTTAATGGGTTTCCAATGTTAACCGCAGGCTGTGAATGACCTCGGAAATTAGAATATGGAAGTCAATAATTAGGGACTAAGGTGGAGATAAAGAAAACATGATAGGTGACCTGGAAAATAAATGCATATATATATATATATATATACATATATATATATACATATACATATATATATATATATATATATATATATATGAATCAGTCCAAAATATATTTTAGACAATAGTAATTAACAATTAATAATTATGATAGACTTGAGTTGTTCTATCAGTGTATGAACAAAATGATAGTCCTGAAGAATTGATTGATCAAAATAAGAACTTACCATAGCTAAAAATTATTTGATTTTCTTTACGTGTTCGGAACTCGAAAAATATTTTTTCTTCTATTCCAGCTGTGTTAAAATGAAATGTAGCATGATTTTGTCCATTAAGATTTAATACACTTGATGAATCTTCTAAATAATGAATTAAAAAACAAGAATAATGATTCTGTAGATTGTAGCAAAATAGTTGTAACATTGAAATATCAATTACTTTTCATTCAGTCATCTCATTTAAAATGAGTTACATATACGTTAAAACAAGTGGTAGGCGACATAAATACATATCTTTATATATGGGCTTTATCTAAATAAACCTTTTTTATTTAGCACAGTGATATAGCTTTCCTAATAATAACAAAAAGGTTTAATAATACTTAATCTGGAAGAATAGCTTAATGATAATGAACGTTAGTATAACATCGGACGGCATATATGCATATCCTATACGATGCATCAGTTCCCTCAAAAATTCACTGGTCTGGTATCTCCTACTAAACTCTATCAATCACCTGATACTAACTGGTCTTTTAATCTATATAAACAAACCATTTGATAACAGTTAAAGAAGATTTTAAAGCGTCAAGAATTAAACTCATTTATGTTAACTGTTTAACGACTTAGATAGTTTCTTAAAAACCATGTTGAATTCCTAAGTGCCCTAACTTCTAGTTTTCGAAGAATACTCGAAGTAATCTAACTGTACAGAATTACAAAAAATAACGGAACAGGATAATGTATATTAACAATTTTAAGCAAATTTAATAGTCTAAAAGTTACTCAAGAATTTATATCAACTGGCGATTTATTGAAAATTATAAAACATTGAACAGCCGTTTCATTTTAAATTTCATCAGTACCTGCTAACAAAACTTCCGAAAATTCAGTCAAAGACATGAAATAATTAGACCAGTCGCGAGGCATCTAGGCTAATATGTTGAAACTCATTAAGCTCAACCTCCTGTAGGTACGAAAAAGCTGTACAATATTCTCTTGATTTCCATGGCTTCCCAGTAGACATTAGTATTCGTTAAAAATTTACTTTATTTTGAACAAAATTCATGAAAGGCTTACTTCCCTATTCAAAGGAATGTAAGGTTGATGAACACAACTTCTCATTACTTTTCAGTTTGACTACATACCGAAGTTCAAACTGATCATCTAACGATAGGATGAACTGTTTTGTAACTTAATCTCTATTAGTTATTCATAGTTTTAGATCTAACTAGTTTTATAAAGTAAAGCTATTATCTTTTCTACACTTGGATGATATATAAGGTAGTTTGGAATTATTTGCAAACCATTTCAAAATGTTCACTATATAACTCAAATTCCAAATCCTTAATAGGAGAATAAAATTATTTACAATCTATCATATTAATCCATCGTTTTTAATCGCATAATATGTAAGACAATAGTTTTTAACAAAAGTTTTATTGAAAATGAGCATAAAACTTATGGAAATTCACTGTTAAATCATTATAATGACTAGCAACGTAAATTTGTTTGTATGTTTTCATGTGTAACATTATGTAATGTACATTAAGTGAGCGATATTCCCGATGCATTAAAGATAAAATAGCCATTATTATTAGCTTAATTTAAGATTATATTATTGGCACAATATAGAATTCTCAGAACAAAGTATTTCAGTGATTTTCAGTTTCTCATTTCTTGATCGATCCTGAAGATAAATATTGAGTGATCGCCAGTTAGATGTTAACAGTTCAAGAACCAACATCTGAATAATGTATATTTCTTTCGATGTATATTGCCAGCAACCACAATATCTGTGATTAGGCCTTTTGTAATTTGTACAGTGAACTTTTCACAAACACATCAGGAAACGTACAACTTGTTGAAATATCTTGATAGCACGAACAGGTTGAGTTGTAACCACAGAATGATCATATATTCTAACGTTTTAGTACTTAAAACATTGTTTCGGTAGTAATACTTTGATAGTTACTTTTTTAGTAGCCTGATCTTCAACCTCAAAAAGAAATGTTTGATTCAAACACAATGTTAATATTTTATGCAACAGAGTTTATTGATCATTCAATGCTCATATTTAAACCGAAAGTGATAGAAGGAATATACACAATTTCACTTTAGGGAAATTATAAGCAATATATGAAATGAGTTATCAACCAATAACTACAATGACATTATTTACAAAAAGTACATTATAAATACGAAATACTGAAAAGATATTTCAAACTAGTTTAAAACACTTAATTGGCTTTAGCAAATGTTCTTCCGAAATTGTTCGTTTATAAACGAAAATCTCATAAAAATCATTATGATGACTAACAACGTAAAATGTCTTGTATTTGGGACAGAATACATATATTTTTTTAATTATTTTTTCTGGACAGTGTTTTTTTAACGAGTTAGTTTTCTAAGGGATAGGGTCGCTAACCCCATACCCAACCCTCCTCCTTTATCCAGGCTTTGGAATGGCAGAAGCCCAAGAAGGGCTCCAGACAAAATGCCCAGGACAGAGTGGGTTGGAGAATGCTGGTTGGCGGGCTATGCTCCATTGAGTGTAATAGGCGTAAGTAAGCAATCATATATTTTTGTAGTGATGAATAAATAGGTTTAATATACATATGTATATCTGTTATGTTATAAGTTATTTTTCTTGTCATTATTCAAAACTCTTAACTCAATAAAACTAATGGAATTCTATTATAAATGACTGAATGTTTAGAATTAAAATGAAAAAAATTTTTTAGGTCATGTTATTATAATCATAAATTCATTAACAAAAAGAAAGAAAAAAAACGAAGACCGAACTAAAAAAAACTGGCAAATCACGTTTGATAAATTTGGTTTTTTTTATTTTTTATTTTTTTCATTTAGATCATACATGATGTTCAGTTATGTGTAATATTTTACTGATTAAGGACATTTGTGGTTGATTTTTAATCTTTTCTAAGTCCCATGTGGCTTAACCTACATGACTTTATTTGGATACATTATTACATTCATCTTATATCTAAATTTTTATTCAAATGACCTTGTGAAACAATCTTGAATATGATATGTTCTCAAATTTGTATGTTTTTAATTGAAAATAGTAATGAAATAGAATTAGTTTTAATGTTCTTTGTTTTTTTAATTCTCATTGATATTGAGTTTACTTACATTTAACAAAATATCTTTTCAATCTAAAGAGTATATGGAAAATAAAATAATATAAGAATAAAGTTTAGGAGGAATAATAGTTTTGTTTACCTGAAATATCATTTGTGAATTAACATTCTTTAGGGTTATTGCCTGTCTAAAACCCGGATAAAGAAGGAGGGTTGGACATAGGGTTAGTGACTCGATCCGGTAGAAAACTAACTCGCTAAAAAAATGCTAACTAGTAAATAATCGATGATAAAAAGTCATTTGAAAAGAATCTTTCATTTAGTATTATAATAGATCATAATAAATATGTTTTATTATTCTACAAGCTTCAATTATGAACTGTTAGATAAAAATGATTTTAACACAAATCAGTATTGTATAAATTAATAGATTTACATTCTATCCAGTCAATTATAACCATAAGTGATTATCTCTAAAAAAAATTTAGGTCGTTTACAATACATTCAAGCAAATAATAATGTGAAAGTATTTTAGTAACTGTTCTAGTCATTTTAATGATAAATCTTGTAAATTTAAGATACGACTAAATGAATATAATTTACTTAATGATATCGAAATAGTTGAACGTTGACCGATTGTCCTTTAATGAACTTAAATGACGTAAAGAGAAGTCGCTATTTTTACAGTAAAAGACCAAAGTTATTAGTCGTTAATGGAACACATTATTGTTAAGTGTACGACATTTTCTTAAATATTTTAAGATGTATTAAATGTATATTAACTTAAGTCCACCAAATAAACTTATTTCCCGTGCAGAAATGAAGAAGATATTTGATATACATGTGTCATAACAACAATAGAAATTTACGTATTGAGTCATATGTAACTAGAACAAGTAATCCAAAGACATGAGGAATCTATCATCATGATACGTAGAAATTCACATTAGAGAAAAGCTAAACATTGGCCAGATTTTAGTTTAAAAGTTGAATTTCCAAAGTTTAACAATGCTATGTCTATTGATTTATTTATAAAATATCGTAATTTATTGATGTGAAACAACTATTCTTAACTGAGATACATTAGCTTCCACATTTTCAATCAGTGCTAAAAAATCTATTTTCTAACGTTCTATTTCTTAAGTTTTAGTCGCTCATTTGTTGACATCTTGTTATTAATGATATTCAGAGCACAATTAAATTGAGTTATTTACCGTTAGGTTTAGTCATAAAATCATTGAATATGATCATTGGCCTAATATTATTGTGTAAAGAAAAGGACCACGTAAACCGTCCGACATGGTGACACGCAACTTAAATTCAGAGTTGTTATTAGGCTGCTTTCAAACTGCAAACTACAAAAAAATGAGACAATTTCAACTAAAATATAGCGTACAGCATAAATGTTTCCATATATTATTTTTTATAGATTTCATCCTTTCTTTTCAATAACTTTATTGTTCAATTGATATAAAGGTCGAATATTGATAAAACAAAGCATAAATATTTTCTTAGATTTCCAGTAGTTGATTATTTCTATCCAAAGTCTATGAATATCGTATTATCTACATATATAACGACCTAATGTTTGAAGATCAAACAATAAACTTATAAGCATAGATTCATATTTTTAAAAAATTGACCTAATTTCATTGAATCATGTTTATCTGAATATTTCACATTTAATTCAAAAGAAATGATTTATTTTAAAGAAAATAATTTCAACTTAAATAATTTCAAATCGAAATATAAGGCAATGCATTAAAATAAAGAAAGTTACCATTGATTTAATCTCGGCATAACTTAAAACTGATCAATGCAGCGGTATTTTTATCTGAAATTTGTAATTTTCAAAAAAAGGCTCACTTTTAATGAGTTAAAAGATAATATTGATCAATGTAATTATTAAGCTAAATAAACCATACTATTCGAAGAGTTGAAACAATTTCATCTGAATTATTATCGTATAATGTCGTTAGATTAATCCCGCAGATGGCTGAAGTAATTGCTATTCGGATCAAAAAGCCAGAGCTTTGG